TTAGTTACACAGCAAGTAAATCATGAAGCACTGAAGATATTATCTATTTATTACCAGGAATTATGGTAGGTGATTGTTGGCCAAAGCACCTAACCAGTGTAAATGCTGTAGCATCTTACTAGATATTCACTAGGCTTATCTTTTATTACAATGTTTTTCTATCGATCTTTTGGGTAGCCTGAGAGATACAGGCCACATTTAGCACAACCAATGATATCAGTATCTCTGTATGAAATCCCTATTTTTTTTTTTTAGTAATCAAATATTTTTAATTCTGCAAGCTCAAAAGGTCCCTTTGTATAATTTCATGCATATAAATGGCATTTTAATGACTGTTAGTTCTTAATTTAGATAAAATTATAATGTTGGTAAAATATTTCTGATTCTCTTATGAGCCAGCTTCTAGCCTGGACTGCATTGCTGCATTTATTCATTTGGTACGTGTTGCTTCAAATTATTAACCTTCTTTTGACGTTACATGGCCATTTTAGGTTGTTTCCTAAAGAAGGGAAAGTATTATTCATGTGGAAAGCTAAAAGTATTTTCCACACAATCCAAATTAATTCCACTTGCAGCAATTTAAAATTCTTGACTTACAGATTCAGTTCTTTCCAAGATCAGTTCTCTCTTGCCAGGCAGGCAGGAGCAGTGTTGATCTCAGTGTACCTAGTCTGCTCTTCCAATCCCTCCTATGATGTCTGATCACTCTAGTGGAAACCCCTGCTGGGTGGTGTCCCTGGAACACAGGCTGTCACATTTGTCATCGAGCTTGATTCCAGCATTGATAAGGGATCTGGCACGGTTTAATGTTCCAGGAACTGCAGAGCAGTTGCTAAAATCCAGAAAGAAATTGGATTTCTCTATTCATTGCCTGTGGGAAGCATGCAAATAATTTAGGCCCAGGCTTATAAAAACATCCACTAAATGTGCTTTCTGTCTACGCGTGCATTAATGCACGTTAGTTAACGTGCATTAAATCTAGTACCTCTGAACATGTATACACATACTTTTCTGTCCCACAACGCGCTGGAGATCTGCCGCTTCAGAGCAGACTCCATGAATCGAGTCTGCTCTGCACACGAGCTGAGGTGGACTGCGCCGTGCTGCGTGCAGTTGTATAAGTGGCAAAATGTGTGTCAGCGCAGAGAAAATGGTGGCCGTGCACTTTTGAACTAAAGCACTTCCGTTGTGTTTTGGTTCAAAAGTGCACAACCACTGCCACCGTTTTCTCAGTGCTGATGCGCATTTTGCCATTTATACAACTGCAAGCATTGCAGCACCGGGCACTTTGAAAAGCGTGGCCATTGCACGTGTAAAAATGCCCTCTGGGTGCCTGTGGATGTGCCAGAAGGCTGCTCCAACATGCTGTAATTACAGCGCATTGAAGCAGACTCAATTAACTGAGTCTGCTGGAGCGTGCTAATTAGTGTGCTCCAGCCAACCTCCACATTTTATGCATCAGTGTCCCTACACTTCAAAGTGACAGTGGGGGCACTTGACCTAAAGCTTGTTCGATGAGTTTTAGCTCAAGCACCCCGACTGCTATTTTGAAGTGCAGGGACGATGATACACGAGAAGCTGTGGAGCTTTAAATTAGGAGGTGGCTTTTGGAGCCAACTCTAATTAAAGTGCCTTCCTACCTGCCCCCAGAGCGCATATAAAAAACCCCGCCATTCTGAGATACTAGGAAAATGTGCATTAACTAGCTTATTTTAATGTGCATTAACTAAATAGCACAGATTTTGAGTGATGCTTTAATACACATTAAAACTAATGCGCACTAAAGTGCATGTGTAGATGCACCCTGTGACTTCTCAACTGCTCTCAGTGATCCACTAAGTCCTGTTTTTTCAGAGATGATGATGATGATGATCATCATCACCCACCAAACGCAAAGGCAGTCAGTGACAGGTGTGGATGCTAAGAACTCCTGGACATCAGGCTCTTCAGCTATTACCACAGGCACCCAAGATATAAAGGCACCCAAACCCCATTAGATGTTTATGAAAATGTAAGTCCTATTTTTGTGCCTAGGTCTCTCCATCTTCAGAATGCAATATAGCCCACTTTTGAAAACGGCTTTGTTCTCCCCAGATGAACAGGACTGTATAATATTACCATATCATGCATATAAATATTATTGTTCTATCCAGTCAAGCTTGAGCCATGTGAGGAAAAAAAGGCGCTGACACTTAACTCATTTGATGTATCCATGCAAGAATACCCACATATACACAATTAAAAACATCATTTTTATCAATTATGTACTAGCATCTCAGCTGTACTCGACTAATTAGAAGAGGAATGAAGAAAAGGATAGCAGTTTAAAATTAATTATGCCATCATATCTATACTGTTTAGAACCTAGTTAAAAGAATTAAATATTTATATCATTATGGGTTTTCATTATGCATCATAATGTGACTGCCTGAGAGAAAATACTGAGAGATGTTTCAACACAACTTGCAAATTTAGAAGTTGGATTCTCTCTTGCACTGATTATGCTAACAATGTTGTCTCAAAACGGGGTACCTCCAGTTTAAGAAAATATACCTTCTTTCCAAGTACATGTTTGCAGCTCCATTTTATGCTACTAGGCACTCATGTACTAATGGCCACCTCTGCACAGAATTAGGCAACTCAATTAAGGAATAGTTGATTAAAAAAAAAGAAAAGGCACCGATAGGGCCCCAACTCTACCAGTTATAATTAACACATGGTCAGAATCTCATGTCTGCATAACTTCCCTTCCTGCCTAATTCCAGCAATTAGTTATTTAAGTACTTTATCTGCAAGAACATTTGCAGAGTTCGTAATATAAATCAATCAGCTGCGCTTGCAATTACCGTATTTATTCAAATACAAAACAAGGTTCCCACCCCCCAAATCAGCATGGGAAAAAAAACCCCTCAATCATACATTTGCATACAAGGAAGCCTCATTAAATACACTAATATCATTAAACTGCTGCCAAAAGCAGCATGTGCTCAGTAATGGAAACCAGCTATGATATTGATTAAATGCAGCTCACAATGAGCTCGATTATAAAACACATGGCCTATATTGGACAAACATATTGATGGGAATCTACCAGAAAAGACTGGTTAGTGCAGCCCATCTGAATTAGATATATGGTAATGTCCATTGTAGTACTGCAGTGACTATAAAATTGCTTTGATTGCTTATCTTGTTTTTGACTATAATTACTTTGACTGTTTATCTTGTTATTTCTCTTTTTATATAAGGAAAAGATTTAACCATTAAGATAAAGTTAATCTTGTTATGATTTACTTTTTACTATAATTTAATCAGTCATTATTAGTGCTTGGAATTAGCCATCTATTTTAAATTTCTTATTGCTTAGCATAAATATATTAGACCTATTGATCTCATGACTTTAGAACTTAAAATTTAGTATAAGAAAAACGCTTGTGTAAGGGTTTGTGGCATGTGTGGAAAGAGGTAATGAAAGAGTGAATGGTGTATGTGACAATGTGCAGGAAGACAGTCCTCTTGCAACAGGTGAAAATAGCTTTCTGTGGTTTTACGGTTAAGGACTGCAGCCATGTCAAGTCAGCAGTAAAGGATTAGCAAACACTAAATCATGCTCCATCCTGATGGCTGAACACTGCAAGCGATGGTGCCCCCAAAGATTGCAGACCACAAAGCTAGAAGATTATGACCTACCAATCCCAGCCTGCCAACAGGACAAGGAGGATGACCTTTGCGTCTGACTCAGCAGAATCCATAGGCTTGTATGAACAGTTATCACTATAAAGAATGAACACAAAGACAAGGCTTTGGGTCTTTTCCACCTGCAAGAAGGAGTTTTGGGTGCGTCCAACAAGACCTGACTCCAACTTTCATAGTCAGCCTGGCCAGCCACCAGACTGACCTTGAGCAACTTTAAGAACTTGGTAACACCTTAACCTTTGCAGGACTGTCTAACTATCTGTGTGTGTGTGTGTGTGTGTGTGTGTGCGCTTTTTTTTTTTGTATGCATGTATGAATGAATGAATGAATGGAGTATACATGGGAATGAGTGAAGCAAATAACCTTACAATTCATTATTCTTTTTATGTTTTATGTTCCAATAAATGTGGCGTTGTGCCTTATCCCCTGATAAGATACTTGCTTATTTTTAATTCACTCTGTACGCCCTGTGTGCACAACACCATTGCATGTTTTTCTCTTTAGCACTGATTCTTTTTCAAGCCATCACACTGCATACGTTTCAACTTTCTCTTCACTCGCACAGATGAGTTGCACCTTTCTTTCCCATTTCCAATGATTCCTGTTTCTTCACCAGCCTTAAATGTCTGGCAAACATCACCAAATGGGCTTCCAAACAGTTCACGCAGAACTCCCCCCTTGCCCCATCTCTCAGCTTGTCACAGATGATTAGTATGACCCTGCTTTCCATGAAAAGGAGCCAGCCAAAGTTGCCCTGCACCTCATATGCATACACATTTTTGAAGGATTTCAGCACTTATGACAATAACACCTGGTTCCAGTTATGGGTGGGGAGCCAATTAGCACAGTATACACCTGTACTGAGCAGTCCTGAGCTGTGCGGTCACAATGGCTTGAAATGCTGTTGACTCCGAGGCCCAGCCCAATGAACGACATCATAAATCATGAGCCTTTTGGCTTTGTACTAATACCACGCATGGTTTTGACTAACACATACACACACACACATATATATTTCTGATGCAAAATGCTACTTAAAAAAAGTGTGCTTATGGAGTATGTGCTAAAACTTGCAGCAGTTTCAAAGAAGGTAAAATGAATAAGATCTGGATGAACTAAGTCTGTGGGTATCTGTAGTAATTTGCCTATATGAAAATTATCACAGGTAGGTTTATTGTTAAGTCAGCAGCAATAGCTCCCTATGTACTCAAGGTCCTAGAACCTGACACTTGGACATAACACTGCATGCGCATTATGAACTCCAGAGCATTTATCTAAAAATGGATATCAGAACAAGTATATACATTTACTTACATATACACACACACACTTACCTGAATGATGAGGTTATAGAGGTTCTATCTTAAAAACAGCAAGTGTTGGAGCATTACAGGCTGTGAAGTCAACTAAATCAACTAAGAAGTCAACTGGAAGGGAAGAAAGATTTGAGAAATGACTGTTCTTAAGCTCCAGCTCAGGAAAACGCCGATATACATGCTTGGTGTTACGCATGTGTATAAATGCAATGTGTTGCAGAAATTTTGAATCAGAGACATAAGCAAAAAAATTCCACTTTTCTTTAATTCAGTTTGGAAACTGATTTTTTGATGATGTGCCTATATGAAAGAAGCTTTGGCATTTAAGAATTAAAAATAAGAGATAAAGTCCAAGCTCATCGAATTTTAAAATCCCGTTTTCAGTACTTTTCATATCCTGATGCATTTACATTCTTTCACTAATGCTAACTGGAGCTTTTTGAAGGTGGTGCTCATCCTCCTGGCAGGAAGTAAACACTTTCAAGGGACACAACACCTTCAGCAATGCAAAGATTTTTTAAACTGGAGACACTTGATGTAAACTCATTTAGCAGGAAGCCCCAGAGCTACGCTCAGTGTTTAAGGGCAAAGCTCTTCCCCCCAGTGATCTCAGATCCTTGAGAGGAGACACTCCTGGATCAAGAAGAACTCTAAATAGTGGAGTCCTCAGAGACAAAGTCTTTGAAAAAGGGCATGCGAGTTCATTACAAATAGGAATTTTAATTAGGCAAACTGATGTTATTTGAATCAGTCAGGACACTCTCTCTTCCCAAAATAGTACTAGGAGACTTTTACTAACAGCATTCAACTGCTGCCTTGGTTTTACATCAACCCTAAATCGCCACCTCCAGCATCATGGATAGGGCGCCAGATCAAACAGGAATCAAACCAAGAAAGTCATCAGACACCTTTTTAGGAGATACCAGGGAATCTACACGAGATGCTTACTGTGGAGTTGCCTAATTAGTAAAGAGCTCAGGTGGCCCACACCCAACATGACCTGCAGCACATGACTACTTGCTTTGCTACTGCAGCACAACTCTTCGGGTTCACCATCACCCTGAGGAAGACTGAAGTTTTTTGTTAGCTTGCTCCACACCACGTGTATATGCCAGCAAAGTTGACTATCAAAGGAACTGAGTTAAATGCTGTCAAGTAGTTCACTTACCTGGGGAGTGTCATCTTGTATAATGCCATGACTGACAAGGAGGTAGACTCTCAAACACCGGCAGTGCCTTCGGCAGACTCTTCAAGCGGGTCTGGAACAGTCACAGCCTATGGGCACAGATCAAAGTTAAGGTGTACAGAGATGTTGTTACCTCCACCCTACTGTATGGTGCCGAGTCATGGGTCTTATATCACTGCCATGTACACCTTCTTGAGCTCCTTCATCAGCACTGCCTCTCACTATTCTCAAAATCCTTGGCAGGATTATGTCACCAATGTGGAGGTACTACAAAGAGTCAATACTGCTGGCATCGAGGAGATTCTCCTGCAGACTCAGGTGCGGTGGGCAGGCCATGTGGCCCAGATGGATGACATACCAAAGGCTGTGCTGTGCGGGGAACTGATGCCTGGGAAACGTGACAGAGGGGCCCCATGTAAGTGCTTCATGAACACCTTGAAGAGGTCCTTTTCTGCCTGTGGTATTGACCACAAGCTGTGGGAAACACAGGCAGCAGATTGTGATGCCACGTGGCTTCAAATCAAAAAGGCCATAGTCCTCTTTGAATGTCAGCACAGAGCCAGGATCGAGAAGAAGAGAAGGAGGAAAGATACACCCTCATCTAGCAGCAATCAGCCATACACGTGTAACTGTTGCAGCAGGATTTGTGTCTCTGCAATTGGACTGAATAGTCAACAGCGCGGCCTGCAACCGGTATGGGCAGTTACCTTCCTAATATCTTAATCTGTGAAGAACTGCCAAGAAGAGAAAGTGTTAGCATCTACACGTGCAGAGCTGTTAGGCCGGAGTAAACTAATTAACTCTGCTGTAGGAGAGTACTGTCTGACACAAGTACTATCCTATAGCAGAGTTACATATTCCAGTGCAATGCACACATAGACTGTAACCAGCTGCACTGTAGCCCTGCACTATAGCCCTGCACTGTAGCACCCTTGTGCCCCAGCCAGCCCCTACATAGCACATTGAGCCGGGGCGGGGGGGGGGGCAGAGGAACAGCTCTGGGCTGGCAGGCTGATGTCCTGGACTCCCTGCTAGCTGGGGCTGTGCTGCCCAGGCTCAATGTACCAAGGTCTCAGGTGCATGTATAAACACTGCACCCAGGAGCAATAAACTCCAGTACGACCTGTGCTGGAGTTTGTTGCACTAATTTTACATGTAGATGTGCCCACCAAATGCTTGAAAAAAAATTTACAACCAAACTTTGGTGTAGTTCTCACTGTTTAAGAGCAGTGGTTCTTAATCTTTTTAGATTTAAGGCACCCCTTGATAGACTTGAGGAAACTCTTAGAAAATCCAGCTCTAAGTTTTCACTAATTTTTTTACTATAAAAAAATGAATACAAAAATTCTTCTGTTGCAAAACAACCAGGAAAACCAGAACAGGTCTGTGGTAAAGTGGGAACTCCCTGAGTAGCCACAGTGCTAGTCTCCTCACTTGCTTAGTGCTAGTCTCCACACATCGCCCACTTTTTTCCGCCTGCCACATCTTGTTGTCTCTTAATTGGTTCTTAATAAGGTGGGAGGCTGCCCTTTGGATGCCTTGTTCTCCTGGGCTGATATATATGCAGCTCCAACCACCCCTATACTGCATCCCAAGCCTTGCAGATGTTCCTAACAACCGAGCTCTGCTCCGGCCTGAGGCCAGGGTCAACTCATCTCACTGTCAGGCCTCTCACTTTCTTCCCTATTAGGGGCCACACTCATACCACCTCCCTCTCATTGAGGCCTCTCCCACTCCACCACCTCTCATATGGTCTCTTTCATACTGCCCCTTTGTGGGGCCACTCTCATACCGCCCCTCCTCTTCCCGGGGCCACACTCACCCTGCCCTTACCCAAAGAATCCTGGGGCTTGTTTGCCTGCACTCTCCGGCCAGCAAGCATGCAGCCTCTTGGGCCTCTCCTATGACCCTCATCCGAGCAAGCGCTGGGCAGTTAGCAGAACACTGACTTGACTATGTCTCTAGTCCTTCACTGGTTTGTTCACCCAGCTGTGCTAAATTAGGAGCTCCTGACTTGCCCTGTTGTTTACCCACAGCACTTCCTCAGCCGCTCCACCCAATCGGCCTCTGGCCCACCTGTGGCCTCAGGCACCTGAAGGCTTACCTGGACCTAACTTGGCCCCCATGTTAGCAGGGCCTACCCTTGAGCCCCCTGCTCACCAGGACCCACTTCACGCCCTTTCCTTAGAGGGCCTCATCCCAGGCCCCCACTACTCACCCCTCTTGGCACTCACCTGTTGTAACTCTCTTCTTGGGCTGTGAGCCCCTTGCTCTCAGTGGGCTCGTTCCCCCATACACACGCAGAGTCAGGGCTCCTAGCCTCTGGGCACTTTGCCTCTTCACTAGGCTCCATGCCCCTGGCTAGGCTCTCCAGGGCTCCCAACTGCTACTCTGGTGCAGGCTGTCAGGTGCCCTACTGCATCCCACTCTACATACTCCGCCCCCTACACTGGGGCCTAGGGTCACACCTCACAGGCTCAGGTGGCTGCAGCCATGCCTGGCCCCACTACCCACTCAACAGGGTCTTGCACCCCACATAGGTGCAGGTGGCTGCAGCCATACCTGGCCCCCTTATACCCACAGTGCTGTGGGGCCTAGGGGCTAAGGCACCCCAACCCACCTTTTACCACGGTGGTAACTGGCCTGGCATTTCCTGGGGGCTCCTGTGCTACTGGGGGCCCAACCAGGCCACCTACTCCTAGCAGGGTGCAGTTTTAGGACATGCCCAGGACCAGGAGCCTCCAAACCATCCTCTTAAGCTCCTACCCTTACCTCCAGGATCTTGCATACAGCCTTGCAGCCAGGCAATATTCCTGCCTCCTTTTACCACGGTGGTAACTGGCCTGGCATTTCCTGGGGGCTCCTGTGCTACTGGGGGCCCAACCAGGCCACCTACTCCTAGCAGGGTGCAGTTTTAGGACATGCCCAGGACCAGGAGCCTCCAAACCATCCTCTTAAGCTCCTACCCTTACCTCCAGGATCTTGCATACAGCCTTGCAGCCAGGCAATATTCCTGCCTCCCTGCCAGCAGGGAACTGCCCTGTTTATATAGGCAGCCAGGGATCTAAAATGGCCGCCGCAATCAAGCCCCTGCTGGGTGCGTG